TTGTATCCATTTTTTACTTATTATTTTTATTTTGTTTATAATAATGAATGAATTAACAAATACGAAGGAAATTGTAATAAAATAATGACGAATAATCATTAAAAAAACGAGTTGAAAGCTTTGTTATCACATTATCTAAGATAACTTGTACGGGAAATTACATTAAACCAATCTAAATAAATTTTCTTAAAAGGCTATTGCATTATTTTCACAGTGAATGACAACGAAGGCTTGCTCGAAATAAGAATGAATTATATTCTCATTTTACAGTTCCTGATTTCAGTCTAACTTTGTATTTTCACGAGCGTCACGCGTACTTTCATATTTGATTGACACGAGATCGTGTTAGATGAAGAATTAGACGAAGTGTTACATAATAAGTCATTCGTTTCCATTAAATGTAAATTGTTCATAAATTGTCGCGATTCAAATTGAGATAAAAGATAATTAAAGAAAAAACAATTGTACGATAATTTTTTTTATCAGTTTATACATGTTAAAAAGTGACTTAATTATATCGAGAGATTTTAACAATAAATTACTTACATTTTAACAATAGTTTAATTCTTAAAGAAAGAAAAAAAAGATATATAAAATTAACTCTCACAATGGAAACAAAAATTTTAACAATAAACTATCTATATTCGTCGCAATAATTTAGTTCTTGAAATATAAAATTAGTTTCAAAAGATATAAAATTATCTTCCAGAAGTGAAAAGAAAAATTGTTCTTCGGTATCATTTTTTTTATAGATATATTTTATGTGGTAAAATTATAGACAAAAAGAATTCAAAAAAGAAATACTTTCGTTTGAAAAAGAAACCTCATTCGTCGTGATTTTTCTCAATGGAACGGATATGTCGACAAGTAATAATACTAATACAGAAGGCTTTTATCCGTTTGGAGAGCGAAGACACGTTAAGTCGATGATCATGTTGGCAGGTGCGAAACGCAGATGGTCACAGAACGTAATAATACGTTTATAGAGGCGTGAGTCTCTTCTAAAAGAAGAGAATAAGAATAAGGGACACCTTGTCTTGATAGAAACCACGTTTGAAAAAGATTATTAAATTTGGCCGAAAGTGAAAATTTCTATGCTTAAAGCACCCTCTCCCGTCGTGTTTCTAATCTGATTTAAACAAATATAATTCGAATAATGAATGCTTCGTAAGCGAGTCAAGTTAACGACGACTAATCAGGGAAAAAATTTCTTGATTTAGGAGAGAAAAGATTTTTGAGATTTAAGATTAATAAGCATATTAGATATCGAGTTATCTCATAAAATAAGTAATGCCTTTTTTCAATTATATATCTAATAAATTTATGTGAATTTCGATTATGTGATTTATAGGAACATTATATCAAGATTTTGCTTGATAATCTAACATTTTTTTGTTATATGAATTTTTGATCAACTAACGTTCTACGATTTAGCAATGAAATATGATACGATTTTGATAATTCTTTACCCTAAAATATAACACGCATTCTATATGAAATTGACGTTTATAATATGTTTGTATATTAGTGATAGTAACCAAAGTATTTTAAGACAGATCAATGAATTAGCGATGGATGGAGATAGACTGGTCTCGTATACATATAAACATAATTAATTTCATGTATATTTAGAGTAATTTGGGAAAGAATCGTTTCAATAATTTGCATAGTAATATTTAAAAAAATAATTGACCAATTAAAATCGTACCGGTACATTTACTTTACATTTAATTTCTCGAGATAACTAAAAAATTAAAGGAAAATAAATAAATATTGTTTATGCCAAATGAAAATGTTTGTCAATGCAAATAACTTTGAATATTTATTGTAACCTCTTCAATGAGGGAGTATTTTTCAAGATCTATTTAGTCTTTCTAATAGATCACAAAAAATTATCTTTAATCGTTTGAAAGAGATTAGAAAAAGAAAAAAACAAAGAAAAGAAAAAAGAAAAAGAAAAGAAAAATGACGAGACAAACCTTGATGAAGCAATCGTTGAAGGAAAGATTGTGCCTGAGTGAGTTCTGCCATCGGCGCGTGTCCTTACGATAATATGGAAATCGATCGGCGATAAATTTATAAATTTCAGCGAGTGGTAACATTTTATCTCGAGAAGACCATATCGCCATTGCCGTGAGCGATATGTAAGAGAACGGTGGCTTTTGATCTCCGTAAGTATCGCGCGACGGCCGCGGCATTCTTGGAAAGCCAACAGCCTGACGAATGGAAGCTTTGCGAGCGAATTAGCCCAGGCTTCTTAGGAGACTTCAACACCAATTTCTCCGTATGATTCGAATTATTAATCGACGAGACACCAATAGCCAAAGAACTATCATTCTTCTTTTCTTCTTAGATTAGACCTCTTCGAGCTTAGGCTCCTTTTTTTTATCCTTGATTATTTCGAATAAGGAACACCGATGATACATAGGTACTTAACTTCTCACCCAAGATTAATCCCAATACGTGTAACATTTCCAACAAATCGATCGTTTCTTATCTATTCGTTAAAACAGAAAGGAAGAAAGAAAGAAAGAAAAAAAAGAAAGAAAGATTCACCGAGAAAAATCCTCTTCTTCCTCACCGAATAACAAGATCACGATCAAATTCGTCCTTTTTCTCATTTATTCTATTCACCAGATTCTATTAGTCCGACACTGTGAATTCACTCGTGATATATAAACGTCACTTGATATATAATACGTGAAACATCTTCATACCGAACAAAATAGGAAACCGAGAGAGAAAGGAAGAAGGAAAGAAAGAGAAAGAGAGAGAAAGAGAGAAAGAGAGAAAGAGAGAGAGAGAGAGAGAGAGAGACCGAGGGAAAAAAAAGGAAAAGACACAAACTCGACGGGTTTATATGAAACTGAAAGAAACCGTTGGATACGAGAGGAGAGTCTTAAGGTATACTCTGTGAAAAAGCTTTGAAATCTAAGCTCCCACGATCGTGTCTCCACGGATACTGGCTACTAACCATACCCACACCCCCGCAACAAGTTTCCCCTACTCAAACGTAGGCACGGTAGCGCTTGGGATTGGTTCATGAAGAGCCTCCTCGAGTCCTTGGTCCCACCTGATATTATGGTTTGTATCCAATCATCGCTCGTCTTTCTTTCATGTTAACCCCTACCCTGCTAAGATTATTGACGATGGGCGTTTTGTTAGATACGAGGAGGGTATATATATTTTCTCTCTCTCTCTCTTTCTTTCTCTCTCTGTCTGTCTGTCTGTCTATCTCTCTCTCTCTCTCTCTCTCTCTTTCTTTCTCTTTTCATCGGCAAACGCATTCTCCAGTTCGCAAAACGGAAGGTGGAGTCGAACGAAGTGAGAACCGTCCCGGGGACGACGATTCTCTTGTTCTTTCATTTTTTTTTTCTCATCCCCACGCAACAGTCCGATCTCCATGCGCATCAAAGAGGCCGGACGATGCTTCCAAGGATGGAGGACGGTGTGAGAGGACAATGTTCCCTGCGTTGCAGCCACCAACCAATCGATCCAGCCGTATGCTTGATGTTTAATGCACGAGTGCACGCCTACCTTGCAGAAATGTGCCTTCGAGATTGGAACATTGTCTTTCTTCCTCTTTCCTTTCTCGTTTAACCTGCGCGCGCACCATCTAACTAACAAAATCGCTAAGTGGGAGGGTAAATTCCCTCCTTTTTTTCTTTTACAACAACCCCAAGATATTCGTGCTTACGCATTTTATGTTAACGCGTTATATTATAGAATTCTTTTCTTAGTTTATCGATTTTCTTAAGTATACCTTCCCGATCATTTTATCGCGTTAATGTCTCCGATTCAACGATATTCGTGCTCTAAATTAGGTGATGAAAGTATAACTCGAGATAATATATTGAATTTTGAGATTCGTATGTTTTAAGTTAATTAAGAAAATTCGGATTTGAAAAATTGAATGAATTAATAAGCTATACTTAGGTATATGTAGATCATCGATCGTCCAAATAAATATAACAATTGACTTGAAATAATCATTTTTTTTTTTATGCACACGAATATAGAGTACTTAGTGTATAAAAATTATTCAGATACATTAAGTATTTTAATATCTGTTGCAACTCATTATATATGTCGAGCACATATAAAACGCAGAGCTTAATATTATTCTTAACTTTAATAATACATGTAGATTATATATCTAATGGTTTAATATAAGAAAATATATTGATTTCAAAAAACGAAATTATGATATCATTTTTCTTTTTAATAAATAATAATATTTAAACAATCAAACTTTTCAGTACACGATATACAAATAATTAAAATTATATTGTACTGATTAAAGCTAATAATAAAAGTTCAAGATCTCTGAACCATAAAAAGTGTTTCCAATGTTTTTATCATCTTCACGTAATGTTCTAGTTAATCGACGAACCTTTGGAAATACATCACAACGACATGATAATGGTAAATCCAAGAATTCTGAATTATCGACTGTAACATACCGAGCGAATTCTGTCGGTAACAGATTTTGGTTACCGACAAAATCAAATCTTTTTATCGACTGTAACAAATTTAATTAAGTAGGTCGGTAATATTGATTTTCATACACGTGTTACGTTGTGTGTGTACATATATGAGTAACAGTAAATACCGAACTTTCGAAGTCGCTATCGTTCCTAGTTCAAGATATAAACAATAACGAAAGCGGGGAGATTCCAGACGATTTTCACGGGCAACAAGTCAGTCTACCATCGAATTCTGAAGGGTAAATATCGTAGCATACTTACTTCATATTTGTCGACTTAGTTAATTACTTCTTTCGATCGTTTAACATTTATTTAAACAATTTATAGTGCATTCTTAGCACATTATATACAATAATATAGTTCACTAGTAAATATTAATTTCTTAGAAGAATGATGTAATATTCGAAATCATCACTTACCAGTGATGTAAATAAGAACAAAGATGTAGGAATATGATTGACTTTGTTAGGTTAATATTCAGTCTGCCGTTGGATTTCGAAGAGTCAATATCGCAATTCTTTTAGTCTAGTATTTGCCCATTTAAATGATTCATTCTTACGATTATTTTGCATTTATTTAAATTATATACAGTGCATGTGTAATATTGTTAATATGATTTTTATTTGTAATTAATAATTTTTTAAAAATTATTAACAATAGTCAAGTTCGTGTAATTGTTAAAAAAAATGGCACATTTATTTAAACATGGATTTATGAGAAGTAATGTTAACGTTAATATTAATTAATTTTATGGTGAACTTTTTCATTAAGTGTGAATTTGAAATTCGTTACCGTTACGAACCAGTGATACAAAAAACTGCGAAGATGGCGGTCTTTGGGCGGATGTATACGTTTACATGAAATCTTTACATATACTTAGGTGTCGCTCGTTAAGGGCAGCACTAGTGCACTGCGACGCGATAGGTCTATACTCATGAATAAATGGCTTGTGTTTCCGAAACTATGATTGGTTGTAACTAATTTAAGTACAATTTGTTGAATCTGGATCTAAGCCAATCTACTTGCACGTTTCAAGATACAGTGCTTTTTTATTGGTTGATCGCTTAGATACTATTGAATCATTGCTGATTATTGGCTTAAATAATAGTACTATAAAGTGTAAAGAAAAATTATCTTCAAAATTCGCCTACATCATGTGATGTATTCATCGCGTCAATCTTGTTTGGTGCGTGCTGGTGCGTGCGTAGGGCACGGTGTGTAGGTGGAATATCTAAACGTTTAAAGAATTGATCTTATTTAAATATCTTTAAACTATAAAAAACTTCAAAAATTACGCGTATGTAATACTTTTCTTTATTCTTAATCTTTATAGTACTTAATTAGATAATTTAGGTCATTAAGAAAGCGTTGATTCGTTACAGTACCATAACCATTTTGATCTTGCATTCTATTTTCTTCTACTTTCGATTTGTAATGAATTTTTATGATATCCTATATATGACACATTCAATTAGATTTGTTTTTATCATAAATATCTTCTATCTCTAATTAAAATATTTTATTGATATATTTCTTTGTACATGGATTATTGTTCATAGATTGAATTTAATTTAACTGATATTTGGATATTGATTAACCCTTGCATTGCCAATGCTTTGTTGAATATCGCAAGCAGCCGATACCAAATCACTTGTTACTCATATTAAAACTTAATATAGAAACTGGATTCGAACTATAAAGTTAAGTTTTCTTTCTTTTTGTGTTACTAATAATACTTTTCAATAAAAATACATAAATTAGTTTAAAAATTCTATAATTTTTTACAAATTTTATGTATTTTCTATCAATTCATACTTCATTCTTTTTCATTGTTATATTGAATACCTAAATTATTCTGATATTGTTTATGATAAATCTTTAAGACCAAATTCCATCGAGTATGGCAAAATATCACATTGACTTGGATCGACTATTACCGTTACTTACAAACATATCTTAAAGCTTGGCCATGAACGATTCAGTAGCAATTGGATAAGGGTTAAAAACTAAAATCCTTGTTTTTGCATTTAAAAGAATTAAAATTATTATATATTTTGTTTCAATTAGAAATTCATATAATATGCATTAAATTAATACATTTAAATGTATTAAATACAATGCTAATACTATAATTTTTTCATTCTGTTAATAAATAAAAAATTCATATTTTAAAGAAATATATTTATTTATTTCAATATTAAAACATATTTTAATAATACGTAACGTATCTAAATTACTTATAGATTAATGAGAGAAAAATATCGTACTAATAACTGTCATATAAATGATATTTTGTTATAGAAATGTCTGAATCAGATTTATTAGCTAATGACCATATTGATGGCCTTGATGGACTTGAAAATGGTCAAGATGGTGATGCTATTATGCAGTGTGATGGAGTTAAACGTGAATTGAATGAAGCAAATATAGATGATCCAGTATGTGATAATCCAATAACAATATTTTGTATGTTTTATTAAAATATATGCTCTATTTTATCATATTATAGGAACTAGAAGCTATAAAGGCGCGTGTAAGAGAGATGGAAGAAGAAGCAGAAAAATTAAAGCAACTACAATCGGAGGTGGATAAACAGATGAACATGGGTAGTCCACCTGGAATCAGTAAGATATTTTTTTAGATGGCTTCAGGCATCATAATAAAATTATCACTTTCGTTTTCAATTTCTTGCTTATTAAAATTAACTTTTAAATAAAAGAAAAATAAGAAGAAGACAAATCCCTTACTATTATATTAGATTAGTAAATGTATATTTTATTTCAGCGAGCCCATTGAACATGTCACTCGAAGATAAAATGGAAGTTGACAATCGATCTATATATGTTGGAAATGTAAGTTAGAAATAATAGTACGAAACATTGTTAATATAATTGTTTTTCTTACACAAGGGAATTATTTTTTGTTACATATAATAGGTAGATTATGGTGCCACAGCAGAAGAATTAGAACAACATTTCCATGGCTGTGGTAGTGTCAACAGAGTAACAATACTTTGTAACAAATATGATGGTCATCCCAAAGGTTTTGCTTACATCGAATTTGCAGAACGTGATTCTGTACAAACTGCAATGGCTATGGATGAATCTATGTTTAGAGGACGCCAAATTAAAGTTATGCCAAAAAGAACAAATAGACCAGGGCTATCAATGACAAATAGGTAATAAGATTGATAAGAACCTTATCTTTTAGATAATAACACATATAATCTTTAGTTTCTATCATTCTATATACAAAGACTTTTCTATGTACAAATATGTATGTAAAAAAGAAAACTTATAAGAATAAATAAATATTAATTATAGGGGGCCTAGGGGTGTACGAGGTTATCGTGGTATGGCTCGAGGGATAATTCGTGGCAGTGCATACTTTGGATACAGACCTACTAGGAGGCTAAGGTATTTAACAACTTAAATATTTTTAATTAAACCTTCATATTATTTAACATATTCTAAATATATCGTTTTTTGTATATATTTATTCCAGAAGTTACAGGCGAGGGTACTATATGCCATATTAAACATTTTAAACATAGTGCTATGGTTCAACGACTTCAAGGTAAGTTCTTATTTAAATATATTACTGTATATATGACTTTTATTAAAAATGAAACACTTTGTAATTTATTTTTTTGTAAGTATTTTCTCAAAGAAGAACTTGTCCAATATTTTTTTTATAAATATTGAAACACACATTCTCTTTTATAATATATGATGATTTTATACTTCTTATACGTGTGTTTAAAAAAAAAGTAGTATTGAAAAGAAAATAACAATTACAGCTTTAAATACGTAAACACGTAAAGCTTAACATTTTTTTTGAACAGGATTTATATTTCCTCTTGTGTTGCAATTTTTTTTTTTTCGATCATAGAAAGAATTAATTAAATTAGAAATTATTAATAATTTTTTCTGTTAAACAATAAATATATAATATTTTTAATCATTTGAAAATCAAAACCATAAAAGTAATTTTTTAAATAATCTACTTACTTTATTATTTTCTTATTAGGAGATACAGCTATATTTAATATTATACGTGTACTAATACACGTTTTCTTATATATGTATGTATATATATATATATATGTGCGCCATATATATATATATATATATATATGTGTATATATATGTATGTATGTATATGTATATACATATTGCAAGTATAATATTTCAAATCTAAAAAAGGACAAATATTTAAATATTTCACATACAAAAGAACACATTTTACATTGTGTATATAAATATCTAACAACATTTAAAATATTAACTTAATTAATTTATATAAATACTGTATATTATCATACAATGTATCGTTCATTTACAAAATTTTTATCATCAACATTCATTTTGTTGGAAATATATTTTGTCTAATTGAATTTATTATTTAAAAATTGTAATGAGTTGTTGTATATTTTTGAATTACAAAAGTTAAATATAGAATGACACTGTTTCATATAGTAAATATATTTTATAAAATAATTCATACATTTTATATCTATACATAGTAATTTAGTTTTTATAAGAATAAAAATTAATTTTGTTCATCTAATTTGTTTATCACTTTATAAAATTACATATATAAATGATGGAATTAATGTGTGTGATACTTTTTTGAAAAAAATATATTTTAATGCAAAAAACGTAAAACATTGTGAAACAGTGTCATAATTTAACTTTAAAGGATACAGATATGGTACGTTAAACAATGGTAACACAAGTTATAAACTTTTGTGCAAAATTTATTTGTAAGTGACATAAAAAACTTACAAATCTATATAAACATATGTTCAGATATTTAAGTAAATTCTTATGATATGTCCACAGAAAAAAAAAACTGATACGATGGGAAAAAAAGAGAAAGAAAAAACCTCATGTCAAAAGAAAAAAAAAGATTGGACAAAGATGGGCACAATTAAATCATTTGATTTTAGTAAATCACGACATAAAATTACAACTGTAGATCTGCGACCATTCACAATTGTAGTTCAATTAGTTACTTCTACCATTTTCGTATTATATAGTAATGGTAGAAATAGGTAATAGTATCAGTCTTGATTATTTTTTAAAAACCAATATCTTATCTCATAATGTTGCTAATAAAATTTGAAGTCAAAAGGTACATATTGAAAACAAAAAAGAAAAAAAAAATAAGAACTATAACATTCCCTTAAGAATATCGTGTTTGTATAACAAATTACCTTATGTATTATCATATACATTTCTCCTGAATATATGCTAATTTTACTAATAATTTCACAAAAATATATTTAATAATAAATTTCTTTATTTAATATTTATCTTCTTTATTTAGAATAAAAATTCAAAATGAATGAAATTATACCAAACCTTGTAATATGTAGGGGTTTATATAAATTAGTTACAAATACAGAACACATGAGATATGTATAAAAATATGTTAAGAGAATACAATATCAACATATATGTTTATAAAAGTTTTATTATATATTTTGGCTTGTATAAAAATGCAAAGAAATTTCTTTTTTTTTTTAACTAAATACACATCAATTTTAAAGCTATATGATTTAATTTACATTTTTATTTAAATCAAAAATTTATATTTCAAATATTCATTCAGTTATAATATTTGTGTTTATTCAGATACGTATATTGTATTTACTACATTTAAAAAGTTATACAATTTCTTAATATTATTACAATTCCAAAAAATATACAAATAAATTCCATGCTGGGGTAAAACATCTGTTATTTTAATATATTAAATCTTTCTATATATTACGTTAAAAATTATTTGTACTAACTAAAGTTAATCAAAATTAACACGAGGGAAGATTAGACATTTTTAAATATATTTGTAAAAGAGAAAAAAAGTTTGAACAAAAATATAAATTTTGATTGTATATCTTATATATTTATGTCACTTGTAAAATTGCACTTGAAAAACATTAAAATATATGAAGCAATCCCATTTTTAACTTCCAAGATGATGCCTGAAATAAAAAAAGTATAATGTATAATTATAAAAAATAAGAGAGCTTTACAAATACTGTTATATTAAGGCTGATACAGAGAAATATAATAATAACAATATATAAAGAATTTTTTGATTTTTGTTTTTCATCTTATTTAATGCAAAAATAAAATTAATTAAACATAATTTTTTAATTCTATTCCTGAAAATAAAAATTTTTTTCTATAATTAAATAATAAAGAACAAAAAATTGAACTACAATGTGAATGTTTAGGATAATACCATACTACAATAATTTATAGTAAATTTTGTATGCATGATAAATGAAAGTTGCTAAAACTATAACGTCATCAGTTTTATCTTATAATATGTCTATCTACAAAAGATCATGTATGCAACTTTCATTTATTCACAACTAACTATATACTTTCAATTTTATCTTAAATATGTTGCTACTAATTTGTAAGATGATGTAAAATGAATTTCTGAGTCATTAACCCACTATGCTATGATATTAGGAGGAGAGCTGATTTTCAACATTTTAATGATCAAGCCAGATTTCGTATGTTGCTTCCACGTCGCTAAGTATTTTGCAGGTGCAGTGCAGCATCAGCATCAATTGAGTGATAACAATACAAATTTCATGAACATTTTTTACGTTCCATTAAAGAAAAAAAAGAACAAGAAAAAAAGAATAATTAAGGCATAAGTGTAAAGAACTAATGTAAAATGAATGGGTGGTAAATAAAGATTTTCTTGGCTTACCTCGGAAGAGTTCAATGGAATTTAATAAAGATATTTATTGGTATAGAGTAAAAAACACATTAGAAGCCGACGTAATTTGTTTATTAAAACTCAATAATATTGAGCTTGAGATTTCTTACATATCAGATCAACATTTGATGATATATCAGAAGAATAAATTTCACTTATATAAATTCATAAGATTTTAGTAACAGATATAATTTGAACATTATTTCTCTTATTAGAAATTTTCACTTCCATATAATCTCTGAAGGCATAAAAATGTACAATTAATTATTAAAAATGGTCTAATGATTATTAGCATTTCAACATTTACAAGATACAGCTATCAACAAAACACGTTGAGGACCTGAACTAAATATATTATAATATGACATAAAGTTTCTATTTATTTTAATATGTAAGCGATTCTCTCTTTCTCTCTCTCTCTCTCTCTCTCTCTCTCTCTCTACATATTTCTATTATGTATAATAAAAATATATATATATATATATATATATATATATATATATATATTCTTAGATATTTCTATCAAAAGTAGAGTTTTAAAAAATAGAAATTAGATGTCATTTAATACATTTAAGTTACTAAAACGGTAAAGTAGCTGACACTTTTTGCGGCATTATTGAAACTTTTCTAATATTAATTCTTTTTTATATATAACAATATATATTCTTGAGCTTTTATAATACTCTATTTAGTACATTCATACCTACAATAATAATTAAAACGTAATATTATAAAGAATATGGTAATATAACCATCTTACAGCAATTGCAGAATATTGATATTGTTGAACATAATAATGTAAGAAAAAAAAATTATATTCCATACTACATAGCACCTCGTTAAAACGATTATACCATTAGATTTAAAAGTGATATGAAATACAAATATGTTAGGAAAATAATTATTTTGTTAAATTATAGATTAAAAATAAGATTTTCTAATATGAAATTACGTTAATTAAATCATTCAGTTTTATTATAAGTACTATTAGTTACAAGACTTAATACTTTTATTTTAACAGTATAATTGCCTTAGTAAAGTGAATCATTTCTTAAATTCAATCAAACGGATTTTTCTAAGATAACTAAGGTAATTATTTTCATCTCAGGCCCTCAATGTTAATCAATGTAATTTAAATGAACTGAATTGTACTTGTTTTGATTGCAATGCTTGCTTGATGAATATCATTTCCATACAGAAATTTTAATTATTTGGTCTAACAAACAGAATACAAGATTGTAATAAGATAATTATTGACTAGTATACCATTTACATGGTACTTATTTCTCAATTTGGAAGGCAGTGGTTGATGTTAACAAGAATTTGATTCCAGTGTTTCAAGAATTGATCGACATAAAGACTGCAAATTTGGATGTGTTGTATTTTCTGTATGTGTTTCTTCCAGATATTTTAATGTTTCTACTCCACCTTCTCTGGTTAACATGCTACAATAGCGTTTTGCTGAAAATATTAATGATATAATTTTAATAAAAATGATAATGATCTCAAAAAAAAAAATTTTAGAATAAAAATTATTTAAAAAAAAAAACTTACGATTTTTTGTGCACACATGATGTATCGCCCATACTGCCCAAAGCTGAACAGGATATGCATCTGAACAACGCAAAAGAGGGAAAAATGGTTGAAAACTTCTATAAGCAACCATCTCTCCTTGTGGAGTTTGCCAGTGAGTAACAGCATGAGCTAACTGATCTAGTAATTGTTCTCTACTAGGTTGTGAAAGCATTGAACTCCAGGCACTAGGACCATCGCTTAGCAAATGTGCTGCGATACCAGCAGCGAAGTAAGATACATCAATGTGTACAGAATCTAAGAGCAAGGAAAGCATTGATATGAAACGAGTTTGCATAAGTCGTGGCCTCAGATGTACAACCTATAAAAAATGTAATTATTATCACAGACTCATAGATTTGGTCAACAGAATAATATAATTTGATAAAAATTTTAAACATTTAATAATTATAAGAGAAAATAATCTTTTTGTTGTTAGAATACCAACCTCAGCTATATTATTTAATAGACCAAGTACTTTAGTCTCCACGCTAGATTCACCTTGAAAACTTTCAAGTACTTGAAGAAACAACTCCATTCCTCCCTCATCCAAAAAAACTTTGCATGTAGTGGCACTTTCGTCCGTTAAATTCCATAGGGCACTTAATGTGAATTTCATTGTAATATCAACTGATTTAGATTGAACTTTTGATCTGACCATTGTTAATAACTTTGACATATATTGCGGTTGTGCACCAAGCATAGATGTTTCTGCTGTTGATATTTTTGCTGCTAAAATGGAACAAATTGCTACTGACATTCGATTCATCGATGCATCATCGAATGTCGATAAACAATTCATTACTAATCTTGCACACCTATTGAAGCCAAAAATATTAAATTTATGTAATAATATTTCAAATGTTATGGATTAAAATATTAGAATATCAGGTATTTGTTATACCTTCATATTAACTGTATATAAATATCATTTACCTATATTTATCAAATGCAACATCTTGTAAAATTCTGTCACTACACAGTGTCAATAATGTATTTTTTTGTAGCTGATAATGAGTTGGGTATGACTCCATGGCAGTCAATGTTAAGTCAACTATTTGTTTAAGAATTGATGGATGAATCATTATTGCTGATTCACCTTTTGTAAGATTGTAAAGGCACGCGGTTGCTGCCATTTGCACACGAAATTCTTGTGGATGTTCTCGCATTCCAGGCAGCACTAATTTGATTACATCTACGCGTGGTTCGAAGAAATTTGGTGTCAAACGAAACAGATTAAACAAACACTTTTGAACATAAACTGATCGACAAGTATATCTTCTCAAAGCTTCTAGAATTTGGGATTCAGTTGCTGTACCACTGACCTACAATAACAAGTAATATTTATTAATATATTTCATATTCGTATACCCAAAACAAAAGTATTTATAATTATGTTATTAATATTTAATTTTATTATCACGTTAATTCTTTATTGATTAACTTACGATAAGGTCAGGTTTATAATCTTTATTTTCAGGATTTATTAAACTATCCTCGTAACAAGTGTCAGAATGTACAAGACCAAGAAATTTCAAGTGTGGGTGTGCTTTAATAAATTCTTTTAAATCTTTCGAATTTATTTCATCTTTACCTAAAAAAGTATATATATAAACAGTAAAAAAATATATATATATACACACATAAGTATAGTAAACAAATATATTTAAATACTTACCAGACAAATCTAAACTAGTTAAATGTGGCATACAATGTACAGCTTTCAGAAAATCTCCTATTTTTTGTTTCTTAGGCGCAAACATTTCAAAAGCATATGTATCTTTTTCATCAGAAATATCCAAGTTTCTCAATTCATTTAATTCCAATAAAACAGGTATTAGACTTCCACATCCACTTATTTTTATATTGTACATAGTTAGAGTTTTTAAACGGTCTTTACATTTTCTTAATGGTGTTATATCATCAACTCTAGTACATGATATATCTAAATTTTCTAAAAGTGGAAGATCTTCAACCACTATTTCTAATCCATGTTTATTAAATTCTGTTCCTGAGACATTCAAAGTATGCAGCGCGCGTAATTTGCTTAGTGTCACTACTACACAGTATCTAAAAACAATATTAAGTTGTACATAAATTAACTTTGATTACCTTATATAAATTTTTAAATAAAAAATAATCTATGTTATATATATACAGACCTTGAGCAATCCATAAAACTGCCCTTTGCTACACTCAATGATCTAAGATTTTGCAAACTCCAATCGCCCAAACAGCTGATTAGATCATTAACAGTGACTTTTAAGCCATTTACTACCAAATCTACAACTTTATGTTGTTTAAGAACTTTTAAACCTTTTGCAGATAGCGTAGATGCATCTTTTAATTTTACATGCCTAGAATAATATATTAATTGCAATTTTATACTTTTATATATCGTATTATATTTTTTCTATGACTCATGTTATACCTTAATCTAGTTGATTTTGAATCAAAAAGTGTAATCGTTAGATCGGATAATGTTTTCTTTTCACAAAGGCTAGACAATAATTGTTCTGATATTTCAGTTGGCAAAAAGGCATCAGGATATTTGAAACTAAGTCTTGTAGCCAAACTTGGTGATACATCATTGGACAACGTACGTATTGTTGTTGTAGTTTCAGAGCTACTATCACTCAATGTACAACTAACTTGATCTGGAATATATTCTTCTTTTAACTTTAATCATTCTATTACATGTGATTTACCATGTATCAATAATTTTTATTTTATATATACAAACATGAATTACTTACCACATGCAGTGGGAGAGAATGATCCATTTGAATGTTCACCTGTGTCACCAGGATGTACTTCACACAAAGCCAAAACATTATCGCAAATAAAATCTATGCAGACTTCTTGCAAACTTCTTGGTGACTCGAACATTTTATACTTTAAATTTCATTCAAATATATATTTTATTTGTTTTCCTTTTTGCAATATACTTTTTTTTAATTCTCTTTGGCTTATTCTATTTGTTGAACTATCAGTACCACAGGCATCAAAAATTCACTTCAATACTTATTCGATAACAGATTCCCCTTTGTACATTGTCGATTTTTTACGAAGTACAAACGTACATCTGTGCAAGTGTTTTGCATTATAGACTAGCCAAGAAAATATTTGACATCAGAAAAACGATTACTATAGTGCTAAAAAAATAACGTATATAAAAATTAACAAATAGAAGTCGAGTCAAGAACAGTCGAGTAATTTTCTTACTCCGTGAAAATAACAACGAATTAAAGTCGACACTATTTTTTTTTCTTTTTTTTTTTTTTTTTTTTTTTTTTTTTTTTTTCCTTTCTTTTTCTTTTTGTTATAACATGAATAAACAATACTTTTAAATAATCATATTATGTAATAATAGTCTCGCGTGTTAGAATAAATTTCATTCTTCATGCGTACAAACGTATATCTTAATAGTGTAGAAAACTATTGCAGAAACTTACCAGATTGAAAAGAATATAATGATTCATAAAAAGAAACATTGAAAAAATTCGTTACGTAATATTATGTAAACGAGATATTAATCGCAAAATTTTCTTACTATAATGAAATCGCAATAAGATGCGTTTATTAAAATAAATGAGAAAAACGATGATCTCTCACCTGCGAAAAGGCCGCCATATTGACTGACCAAGTGTCAAAACTATGTCAAAAGCATTTGTGCACAAAAGAAAAGGAAAATAAATAACTTTCCTTGATTGACGTAATTATGCCTCTTTATTGTATAAATAACGCAGATAAAGAAGAAATGTGATAACGCAATTCGTTTAATATCTATAGGGTTTTAATTATGAAACACCATTAAATTCGACAAACTTCGTCGGAAATTTGACGCGAACTACTGTGCAAGTTTCAAAGTAATTTGGTCATGCTCTTTCTCTCTCTCTCTCTCTCTCTCTCTCTCTCTCTCTCTCTCTCTCTTTCTCTCTCTCTCTCTCTTTCTCTATATATATATATGTATGTATGTATAACTATCTCTTTCTCTTCTTATTCGGACAAATGTTCAGTTTTAAAAATGTAATGAAATTTAAAGAAAATATTAATATGAAACAGCTTAAAGTATTATAAATTTAATGAATAAATAACACTTTTGTAAATCCCGCGAGGCTATCTACAATTCATCGGTTATTGACACATTACCAATATGGCGCTTAAGTGTAAAAGACGTGCTTTTATGGTATATATCGTAATCTGATTCTCATGCAATTAAAAAATTCTGGGTAAGATATGCATATTTTTTTAAAGAAACTGATGTAAATATATATGTATATATCATTACATATCGTTATTTATATATTAAAGAACGTATTCGTCCTTGCTGTATTTTGGGTGAGTGAAAAATTTAAGATAATGTGATTTGGATGTCTAAAAACCAATTGTGTATATAAAAGAAAATAATCGTTTTTATTCATATTCATTTTATGTGTACGATGTTTTTATACGTAAAAGAAAATTTTTATTTAAAAAATAGATATATGTTTAATTATATATTGACGTATATAATAATAATCAAATCATAATAATCAATAATAATAATCAAATCAAAGAATATATTCTTTGTCAATTGTATTTTTTAGATTCAGAAAAACATTCCTCAAACCTTGAATCATGACTTGAATTTAAGGAAGAATTTTTTTAATATTATATGAAAGATGCAAACTTAAGAGATTAAATTTATAACTTGTACCAAATAACAAAAAAAAATGCCAAGTTTACGCAAGAAGGTAGCTGGCTTTATGCGCCAACTATCTATTAGTAATTTGGCTGGTGCTGTTGAAAATATGGGACTAGGAGAACAACCTCTTCGTAGTCCAAGATCAGTAACACAGGATTTTCCAAGCGAATGTTTCATTACACGGTATCTTAATGGGTACAAATCGATCCTTTTCTATATAGAATGTAAAATATTTATATTATAAACATTTACATTTTATTTTATATAAATAGAATAGTTAAATGCAATATATAATATTTTGCATAATGATTTACAGATTAGAAACAAAACAAGAAGGTCCACCGATCTTGCACGGTAGAAATCCAGAGGAATTACCTGTTAAGCAACTTGGGAATTATCAAGATGATAAAGATGTGTTTGCTGCTTTAACAGGCCCAGATAGTGGACTTACAGCAGTTAATCTTCAAGAAAGACATCTAAGTATGAACGATATTGATATTGATTATATTGATATGCTGGATCAGAGTGAGCAATATAGAACAGGTTAGAAAAAAGAGTTGCAAAATATTTTATTATATAATTATGATTTTTTTAAATGTAATTATCTTTAGGATCAAATTCATCTTCCGTTGTAATTGCTGGAGCTCCAAATTGGTTTCTTCCTCATGAAATGGCTTATGGTATTGCTACAACATTATATGAAAAAAACCCTATAAATAGTATTAACAATGGAGAACCAATTGCCGACTGCTTTGGCATTTCTGCAAGACAAAATTCAGCAATATTGGCTCTGGCCGATGGTGTCAATTGGGGTATTATAAACTAGATATGAAAAAAATCATTTATATAGAGTACAATAGAATAGTGCATTTTGTTTTATTGTAACGCATGTTTAGGTACAAAGGCAAGCATTGCAGCAAGATCTGCGGTGCATGGAAGCATGGAATACTTGAATAAAGCTCTTTTTTCACCTTCGATAAATAGTGCTATAACTACGACAAAAGATGTTTTTGTAGCCCTCCTACGTTCATTCCATGCAGCACATTCGTTAATACTTCAGGAACAAGGCATGCTCACAACATTGACCGTATGTGCTGTTCTACCTTTAGAGAGCACAACCACTAATTCCAGTATTCACCATAAAAAATTTGTGGCTTGTACATGCAATGTTGGTGATAGTTTAGCATACGTATATTCAAGGTAAAATACAATAGCAGACTAAAGTCATTAGAATTTAATGAACGTAATATAACATTCAACCTATATAAAAAAGATTTAGATATGTAGATTTAGTATAAACGATTAATAATATAAATCCATTAATATATAAATATCCTTAACAAATTGTTATAGAAAAACTGGTGTCAGAGAAATAACACGAGGATCTCATGATATTCATTGTATGCGTGATATGCGTGATGCATTAGGGGCTTTGGGACCTGTTGATGGATCTAATCCAGAATTAAATAATTTAACGCTCGCTATAACTGAAGTTGAACTTGGCGATGTTGTATTCTTAACCAGTGATGGTATATCAGATAATTTTGATCCAGTAGTTGGAAAATTTGCAGTTCTACCAAATCACAATGCTACTTCTGATGTAACAATATCAATGAAAAGTAACAATGATGTAAGAACAAAAACAAGAAGAAAATCAGCAGAAAATTTACGGCATACAGAGTCTGGTAATAGCAACGGAAATAGTAATAGTTTACCTGTGGTAGAAGCATATCAAAGACACGAGCTTACGCTCCTTAGAATGGAAGATTTATTACGAAGAGGAGTTTCTGGTGAAGGACCACCATGTAATAGTGCCAAACATCTTTGTGAACTTCTCTTAGATTTTGCAGTAAGTTAATTTACTATAAGACAATATTATCATAATCATTATCGTACGAACTTAAAATCTAATCTGTATACAACTAATTTTTACATGATATATCTAAATATATTGTCTCTTGTAATTTTTTATGTTATAAGGTACGTATTACAGCTGCCAAACGAAGAATATTAGAAGATACAGATTTATATTATGCACAACACAAAGATGGCCAATTAGTGCAATTGTCCAAGCAAGAACAACGAAGTAAACGAAAAAAGACATTAGATAAAATATCTATGATTCCAGGGAAATTAGATCATGCAACAGTCGTGGCATATGTAGTTGGAGCATATAATTCATCAGAATGTAATCTATAATCATTTCGAATATTAGACATTATTTTTTATTTAACCAAAAAAAAAAAAAAAAAAAAAAAAAAATCTTTTACAAAATGTCAATATTTCTGTGTCATATAATTTGATAAGATATGAAATTGAATATCAGAATATATGGAAAAGAATTTTGTTAAATATTTTAATATTCATAAAAAAGAACTCCGACATTTATTATAATAAAACTTCATCAATAGGAATATCTAATATTTTGTTTACGAATTTATGAGAAATACATTTATATAATTTTTTTACTCAAACATAAAATTAAAACGATGTTCCATTTTTTTTTCTTTTTTTTTTAATATAGTAAGAAAAATTAAAGTATTATTTTAAATATTATAAGTTCTTACAACAAAAATGTAAATGTACGTTGTAAGAAAATTAACGAATCTTTATAACTAATCTCTACAAATAAATATAAGAAAAAGAAAAGAACAAAAAAAAAATAAGAAGACAATGTACAAAAGTGATCTTTACTCATCAAATACCTGTCCGCGTGATATAATATATTAAATCTTATTTTTATATTTTTTATCAAAATCATTTAACGCGTGCGTGAATTAGCATATTAGAATATAAAGTAATATTTATATTTATAATATCAAAAAATATTATTATATATGATATTTATTTTAATATAATTGAGATCATTGCCAAAAAATTGACAATTTTATGTATGACAATATACATTTTTTTTTTTTAAATTAAAGCAATTCGATATTATCGTTCGATTATTGCTTTGAAGTCATAGTTCAACTATCCGTCGTCAAGCCTAAACAGACACTACCTGACTTTAGCAAAGAACATTGAATCAGTCGATAGCGCGAAAAAAGATGAATAGTTAGAAACACAGATATTCTTTACTCTATAAAGTTTATTGGTAAAGAGAAAATATATGCGCGAACTCTTTAAAGTGCTCTTGCAACTAATTCACAATGGATTTGATGCGTTGATTGGTTAAAATTTGAATCGTAACCAATCAGTGTTCATAGTCATATAAAGTGCATCATGCAAAAAGTTACAATGCCATGAACAAGGTGTCGCCAATGTTAGAAACGTTGGGATTTTATGAGCTCGTAGTAATGGCAGCCTTGACAAATACATGATGGCCGTTGCCACCGAATAGTGTAACGCGTACTTGGATCTGTCTTGTGCCAGAAAAGTTTATTGTTTTCGCGATAATATTTCATCGCGTACTCAAAGTCTGTGTCTTTTTTCCATAGTAAAAGTGTGATAGAACGTGTTAAGAACACATATCACGCTGAAAGAGATGCGAAAAAACGGAAAAGCTTAAGAAGAAAACACGGGTGGCAAAACCGCGTTCGCGGAGGTAATATTGACAATTTTTCATCACGACGCTATGCATATTTTTAAGCGTCGATACTACTTAAATGGACCGTGCGTTAACCCGTAGACTTTTTTATCGTTTTCAATCGTACAAATCTTCGCGAATGTCCGTTTTTTCTTTTGTTTACGCCTTGTCAGTTGGGCTTTTGTTGTGTGCAACCGCGCGCCGCTGTTACCTATGTACGAGTGAGAATGAGATGTATATGTGAGATCCGTGTGTACTTGTGTTAGTGGCTTGTGTGGCACGTATGCTTGCACACAGGCGCGCGCGGGTCATAACCTCAAAATATGCTTCCAGCTGTCGAATTATTTTACGCTACTCTAAATGTCTTATTATTGATGTTTTTATATCACGGAATGACATATGTAAATTAATGGTTCTTATATTACCTTTATGCAATGATCAACGTTTCACCGCTAATTATACCTTTTTTTAAAACATTATACTCTTATTCATATTTCTCTCTCTCTCTCTCTTTTTTTTTCTTCTACAACTCCTTTCTTTTTACCTCTATTTTTCTCTCTCTCTCTCTCTCTCTCTCTCTCTCTCTCTCTCTCTTTCTCTCTCTCTCTCTCTCTCTCTTTCTCTCTCTCTCTCTCTCTCTGTTTCTCTGCTTTTCATTTCTCTTTTTCTTTACTATATTTATAAAAGTATATCTTTTACTAATTGTCAGTCATTTATTTAAAAAAATATCTATTTCATTCAATACAAAATACTTTAATTCACATTGTTCCTATTTCCAGTATATGTTGATCTTTCATGTAAAAACTACATTATATACTTTGTTACAGGGTAGAAGAGACGAGCAAACTTAAGATGAGCACAAGTGCAATTTGATTTAACATCAGCCACTATAAAACTAAGAGAAAAGCTTGTTTGAATCTTTCATTTTCTCTTCTTCTTCTTATCTTTTCCCAATATTTTCTCTTTTTTATATTTATTGCTAAATATAAACAATGAATTTAACTTAATTATAAAAGAAATTAAATAATGTCATCTAATTATTTTTTGGATTTGGGATAATGTCAATTTTGTATATTTAATTATTTATTATACCATTCATATCATTTAAAAAAATAAATGTATACATAATGCTGGGGAAGAATATAATTACATTTTATTCATAAATGGATGAAATCCTGCAACAAATGTACCTTAAAAATTCATTAAAATTTATACAAAATGCAAATGAGCATTTATTCTTTAATGGATAATGTAGTTCAGAGAAGAACTACCTGCAATATGCAAAAAATTGAAAATGTTAACATACTAATGTGGTTAATGAAAGAATACAACTATAAAACAAGCTCTTTCCAACGCGTTTGAATATAAGTATTAGAGAAGTCTAGAAATACTGCATAAGTAAGAGAAGATATACGAAACTATATGCATGACAGGAACAGGAGACATAGGTCGAAGACGCGTTGAGTGGCGCAGGAGCGCAAATCTAACAAATGTGTTTCTTTAAATAGAAAATATAAAAGGTAAATTTACAATAATGTCTATAAAATTTTTTAATATTTAAATATTATGTTTGTATAACACAGACATATCTATAATTTTATTATGCACTTTGTTTAGATTAAATATTATAGAGAAGCAAACAATCTAGGAAGGTGGCTACAAGCTGCCCAATGTAAAGTGGGGCTGCGTGGGCATGCAGCAGCCTCAGTCACGCCCTCTTCTTGGGGACTCAGTATCCTCTACAACTTCCCCGACTACACGTCGAAATAATCAAGTTGCTGTCTTAACACAACAACAGGTATAATTCCAATATGAAAACAAAATTTCTATTATTATTTTATCATGAATTTAGACTATATTATTTATTTCTACGATACTTTGCTTTAGTTACAGCAGTTGCAACTGCAAACTCAAAATACACGAGGTCAATCACTCACTTTTGCTGTACAGCAACCATCGAATACTGTAAGTATTACATTGTCTACTATGATGATACAAAGCTTTCTATAAAATAAATTTGCCTTACAAATTGTTTTATTGTCGTAATTATAAGTATAATTTATTTCCATTATAGTCACAAGATCAAGGAAATGGATCTACAACTGGAAATCACATAGTCTATGTGAACCAACTAAACCAATTAAATCAGGGTACCATAAATCCCTCAGGGACTGGTATGGGCCTACCCCCGGCCACCCCCACTTTTGGGGTGGGCCTTAATATGGGATTGCCACTATCACTTTTAAATACCAGTCTTACATCACTCACGTCTAATGTAATTACTACATCTAATCCTTTACTTAATTTGGGCCTACCAAGTATAAACACTGGACTAACGCCGATAAATCCTAACTTAAATCAGTTAAATGCTATAAATTCAAATTTAAACACCAATATTGGCTCAAACAGTATTAATAGTGGTTTGCCTGGTATAGGACAAGATATAAATAATATAAATACTGGGCTAAATCGAATAAGTACACTAAATACTACAAGTATCAATTCTGCACTGACTAGTGTAAATACAGGATTAACCAATGTAAACCCGAATTTAACGAGCTTGAATTCAAATATCAATCAAAATCTGACGCCGTTAAATTCAAACTTTAATGCTACAAGTTCTGGAGTATCTAGTTTAAGTACAATTAATCAGAACGTGAATACAAACCTAGCAACTACTAGTATAAGTTCTAATATAAATCAAGGACTTAATCGACCAGTGAATGCTTTGGCATCTGGTTTGACATCAACTAGTCTAAATACTAGTAGTGCACAATTTCCATTCCAAACTATACAGAGTATTCAGACTATCGCTCCACATATTGTTGGATCAAATATAGCACACGTACCAAGTTCTACTATATCACAACACTCCAATAACGTATCGATTTCACAAATTTCTAATACTGGAACATTGTCAAGTTCTACTATATTTACAAGTACTCCAAGTGAATCAATTCGTTCAACTGCAGCGAATGTTAATCATGCGTCGAACGTAAATATTACGACGAACGTTGCACATCTTGGTACAATGCACTCTAACTTGTCAAATATATCATCCAACATACAACACATATCTACTTCCAACGAGTCAAACATGTCATTGAGTCATGTTTCACCTTTAAATTCCTCACAATCAACTGGATTTCAATCGCAACGGCAGTATTCTCAAGGAATAAATCCTGGTTTAAATTCGTCTGTCACATTGACAGGCACAACGCAATCAACAAATATTGTCAGTACAATGAATACTGTGAAATCAATGCAAAATATTCAGAATCAAAATATTAATTCTCCAGGCAGTCCATTTTCAATGCCATTAAAAAGTCCTGCATCTAATATTGCACCACCAACACCAAGCCCTAGTCCAAATAGGCTGTTACTTAGGAGTCCAGCATCAAATTCTATACAGTCAAATAGAAACAGTCCAAGCCCAGTGGGAACATCAACTACGAATAATAATTTTAATGTACAAATGCAAAGTCCTATGCAAAGCCCAATGAGTGTTAGTCAAATTCAAAGCCCTGTGCTTAGCCCATATCCTCCTGCTAAAAGTCCACATATGTTAAGTGGCAATAACTCACTGAATAACAGAAGTCCAGCTCCAGGAGGTAGTCCTGGTCCACCACTGGTAAGGTTATAATAAATATATTAAAAAAAATGTATCTTAAATATTTATTTGTACATCTTGTAATTTAAGGTTAGACCAAATACACCCATCTTGCAGCAGGGTATGCAAG